CCCCCCCCATTCACCTTTTTTCTACGGGGCCCATAATCTGTAGTTACATCCTGCATTCATCCCTATGGAATGTGTAGACAGGAAGTGGCTGAAGGAGGTTGCAGAAGATCAGAGATGCAAATAAGGTTGAAAAACCCCCCCAATGCTTTATGGAAATAACAAAGGGGAAATGTTTATGATGCACGGTGCTTTAGCAAACTAAATATCATCAAGTTTGGGTTTAGATGTACTTGCATATTTGCACTGATGAGCCACAAAACATGGCCAGTATGCAGTAACACATCACTGAATGGATAATATAAGTCTAATTTAATTTTCTAAAACTATGGTAACTGACATCTGATTGGCTGCCATGAGCCTTACCGGTGATCCCAAATAATGGAGGCCATGTATCAATGGTGTAAACCTGGAATCAATGGAAGGGCAGATTTTATCACTCATTAGGAAGATTGCTGTTTATTGCCATTGGGATAGTTGCTGAGCAAATGATTATCCAGAATTCTACCGAAGCTGTCATGGAAGATCTGGCTCTGTATCCAGACTTCCGATGCACCAAATTCTGTGATGCTGGTTGGAGACGATACGCTTCTAATACACTCTGTGCACCCGGCAATACTGAGCTTTTCACCTCTCGTCCGTCCCTGGCATGTGCTGCGTGTCAATACGGAATTAGGAGGCTTGTGTTACACATGTCACTCAAAGATTAATGTTTCCCTGTAATTTCTATATATTATTACCACATGCTATGCCTGATCCTTGCAGCACCAGCACATTTCACAGTTTGTGGATGACATCAGTCACATGAGGTATAGAAAATACAGTATATACAGTATATAACTGGCTTGTTGTGGAAATAATGATAAATATATATATATATATACACACATATATATATATATATATATTAGGGATGTTCAGATACCAAATACCGTACTCGGTACAAGTACATGTACAGATACTTTTCCAACTTCAGGACTAGACTAGAGAAAAATTCAAAAGTTAGGAGGCGGCTGTCATTTGTAAGGAGCACACAGAGCTTCTGGGATTTGTGCATCCCCATTTTAATGCATTATTTTTTTTAAAATAAATATGTATTAGGGATCCACCGATACCATTTTTCCAAGTACAAGTACTGATACTTGCCCATGTCCTCACAGATACAAGTACTGATACATTTTTGTTTATTGTCATGTGACAGTTTTTGTAAAACAATACAGACAAATGATTTCAGGACAATGGTGGAGTGCTAGAGCCAGGTCCCAGCTGCAACCGCTGCAACCCCGGTAGTTCTCATGAAAATGCCAAGTATCGGCACTGGTATCTGAACTGGTATCTGGACATCCCTAATATATATACATACATACAGTATACACCAAACACACAAATACATCTCAACCACAAATACATAACATACACATATATACACCACATACAAAGCACACCTACACACAAAAACACCATACTACACACAAATATCATTGCGGAAACCCTATGGAAAATGCTCAGAGCAGTAGGGGAGGACCCTTTCCAAGGAACACATTGTTATTAACCAACACCAAGCGTCAGAACATCAGACAATAATTTGGTAAATTTCTACCACTTTCTGGGTGTTCTCTTTATATTTATGTGCACAATAACACATTAATACTGGGTCTTATCAATGTGAGTTAACTTTTGCATGCCACAGTCCAGTAAAACTGGCCATATATGTAGTTTGTTTTTTTAGCAATAGATTTAGATTGTGAGGATAGAAACATCTCACAGGTAAGTGATATTCTGTATTGTTGCAGAAGAACAAAGCAATCTTTAAAGAAGAACACCGGCACATTTTCCTTAATCCTTGCAGCGGGGCTACCCCTGCACTGCAAGAGTTAAAGGAGAATTATGAGGCAAAAGATTTTCACTCAGCCTCATAATCTGAGCCGACTGTAGCTCGCGGTATACTGAGCTTTGGGTCACGGGAGGACGCTAGTTTGTGTCCTCCCGTTATCCTTAGGAGAACTATGGGGAAAAACACTTACTCCATAGTTCTCCTTTAAGTGCTGATTTGCATCTAGGTGCAAAAATAAAGTTATACGCACATGATGCTCGGAGCCGGCTTGTTGTTAGACCGGTCCCTAGAACCTCTCTTCCCCTTCGCTGCAGCGGTCTAAGGTCCCAGAGTCATCACATTCTATACACAGATATACCATCGCTGCAGGGGAGGAGACAGGCTGGAGGGACCTTTGTAAGAGCCAGAGGGCTGCGGTGTTCAGGTGAGTATAATAGACACAAAGAAGAGATGGACCCTTGCAGTGTATGTGTGGCCAGGGGGAATAGTCCCATTACAAGGGTTAAGAGAAAGTTTACTCAGAGTTCTATTTAACTTGATAAACCCACTTCTGATGAGTCCTGTGTTAAATACTATACTGGTAAAAATACCATGAATATAGTATCCTCAATTCAGTCCATATACATTGTTTTCTATCTTTCAGCCCTGATGAAAGGGGTGAGTAGAGCCCAGAAACGTGTTGATGTCCTTATTTGGTCTTTTACCTGACTTTATTAAATTTCTACATGGTTTATTCATTTGTGGTGTGGTGCTTCAATCTTAGATCCAGTGATATAAGAAGCCACCACTTAATATTTCTATTGGGTCCGGATAACCTGCACCCCAAGGTACTTAAGGAATTAAGAGTGTTTCCTTGGGTTTGGCAGCCAGCTAGTGCAAAAAAAATATGACAGGACATTCATTGTGAAAAATGCATTTGTGACCCCTGTCTTTTCATGATGCTTTTTCTAGTGGAGACGGAGCAGAGGAAGCTGGAGAGTTGGACTTCAGTGCCCTTCTCAGGAAAAGGTAAGTGTATGATGGCAGTGCACCCCCTCCCGCCTATCATGGCCCTAAATCCATACTCTGTAGCGGCCAATCAATCCATCCTTTCTTCCCCAAATCTTTAACTGTAGCCAACAGTCTGTCACTGATATAGATATTTATAATTCCTAGCAGTCTCCCATCCACCCCTCCATGCCATAAGTAGAATTCCCATTGACATAGGAGACATATATATAATTCCAATTATCACCTTACACGGCTTCCTTGAATTGATACAACATTCTATCTCAGCTATCTTCGCACAGTATTCCTATCCTTGCACAGAAAGTTTACACTGCTTTATAAGCTACTTTCAGTCTTGTATTACACTGGAGTGCTAAAATGGTTTCCAGTCAGGGTAACATATCAGAATGTATAACTTGCATTGATGGAAATTTAGAAAGAGCAGCAGGGTGCTACTTATTTACAAAATCAGCAGTTAGTAGAGGTGAGAAACGTTTTCCACACCCCAATAGACTTGAGTATTCACCACAGATCAAACGATCATTTACCACCCCCAGGTATGCAGAAGCCTGGGAGCGGGGGGGCTTTAAAGGAACTTAGTCCTCACAGGCTACTGCATACCTAGGGGTGGTAAATGATCGTTTGATCTGTGGTGAATACTCTGTTCCAACTTTGTATGGTGTCCTATGAGGCCAACATATATTGTACCTTGTGCCCGAAAGAGTGTTGAAAACAAACTTTATCATCCCTACCAACCAAACCACCTATTCCATTCAGCTTTTGGAGCAGAGATGGAGTAGCTGATAAAATAACTATGACAGCATGGACAGTTATTTTTATACCCATTCAACCATGAAGCTTACACTTATGCCGGCCACACACAGGACAGTTTTAAAGAGACTCTGTCCGTTGTAGGGCAAAGAGATAGGTTTGCCTATGTAGGGCAAAGAGATAGGTTTGCTTGAAAGAACAAACCCCCCACCTGCTGATACTCAACAGCATCTGGCATGAAGCTTACAAAGGGTTTGGACTACTATCTGCATTGGATTGGGGGAATGGAGTGGCCAAGGAGCATGGCCACAGTAAGTATCAGTGGGGGGCGGGGGGGGTTGTTCTTTCAATGAATGGGCAAACTGTCTGGAGTGCCTTTAAGGTGAATTTAGTCTCTTTGAACCCATCTCTTAACCTATCAGACACAACTACCATTTTTCCAGTGCAGGATAGAAAAGGAAAACGAGACTATGATGAACCATACTACTATTACTTCTTTACATTGGTTTCTAGTACTGCACATTCCTCATTAATAATTTACTTGTTTTTTTTTATGCTTCAAATTCATATGTTACTTTTCTATGCTCCTTATAGTTAGCTCTCTTGCAGCGCTTGCTCCATGTACATTCCCTGCTCTCTGCAGTGCTCGCTGCATTCCCTGTTCGTCTGTCCAGCTGGCTTAGGAACAGGTTGTGTTGTTCCTAAACTCTTGCAGTTGTTGTATTTCATGCAGCTTGCTTGCTGCATCCCTCGCTCTTACAGTACTTGCAGTATCCTTCAGTCCTGCTCTCTTGCAACACCTGCTCCATGCTTCAATCCTGTTGCCTATAAAGGCTTGCTTCGTCCATCAGTCCTGCTGCCTATCAGGGCTTGCTTCATCCTTCAGTCCTGCTGCCTACCAATGCTTGCTTCATCCTTATGTCCTGCTGCCTTGCAAGGCTTGCTGCATCCTTCAGTCCTGCTGCCTTGCAAGACTTGCTGCATTCTTCAACCCTGTTGTCCAGCAATGTTTGCTGCATCCTTTAGTCCTGCTTTCTTGCAATGCTTGCTGCATCCTTCAGTTCTGCTCTCCTGCAATTCTTCATGCATCCTTTACCTCTGCTTTCTTGCAACGTTTACTGCATTCTTTAGTCCTGCTGTGTAGCGATGCTTGTTTCCGCCTTCAGTCTTGCTTTCTAGTACTGCTTGCTGCATCCTTCAATCCTGCTGTCTAGCAATGCTTGCTGCATCCTTTAGTCCTGCTGTCTAGTTATCCTTTCTATATTATTTTTCTATTTTCTATTTTTCTACCTATTGAGTAATGATTTCTTATCATGTATCCTTCTTTTTTTCCCACACAATTTCTTTCTCGCTATCACTTTTCTGTTCTGTAACTGTCATTTTCTTATCTTCCTCTGTCCTTCATCCTACATTCAGAGAGTAAGTTTCATGTGATATGTAGGCTTTGTGCGTGATTCAGCTTGACTGATGCTTTTGGCCTGGTGTAATAACGCAAGCAGCTCAGACCGATGTGTGGTGACCAGTAATATGCATTAATGCTTAGCAAATGTGGCTACTCATTTTCTGATTGCTTATCAGTTCTAACTTAAGTCATCTGCACTTGTTCTGCTAATTATCTATCTGTAGCAAGGGACCCCTGTGATATCACTCTGTTGAGTGACCAGTCTGTCCATTCCATGGATCAGCAAGTGGAGAGATGGTGGAACAGCATGTAACACCATCTGTCAATGTCTTGAAAGGAGTGACACCACTCTGAGGCGGTGACAGCTGAACTCCAATGAGTAATAGGATAGTGTGCATCCTAGGCTGAAGAAAGAGTTGTGCTACTATATTAAAACCTCACTTATGGCTTTTTTAAATATATCCTTCATCACTACACAGTTCAAGTGGGAAACAAATGTAGATGGCAGAACCAATGTTGAAAGAGCAAGTCATTCTGGGTAAAAACAGGTGTTTACTTACACTTAAAGTAGATCTAAGCCCAATCACTAAAGCCTCCAATACATAATTTCGAAAGTCTTTTTTGGTCTTCTTAAATCCGCAGCTTTCATACAAATAATACCAGGTGATCTCTCCACCATTGTCCTTGTTTAGGTACTCCCTGCTATTGGGTGGCAACTGCCTAGCGGTTGTGTTCCCGTGTTGTCATCATGTCACATGCATCCCTGGTGGAGACTATAAGTGGCTTTGCTGACACACATTGGACAGGCAAGAAAGCAGATCCAGAGCAATGATGTGCAACCTATGCTGGTATGAGTACATGTAGACAGAAAGTGGCTGAAAAGGGCTGGAGGAGACTACAAAATTATAAAAAAAGGGGAAAACTGAAGAAGAAAAAAAAACCTGTCAGTTGTTTATTATACACAATGCTTTAGCAATCTAATTGTCATCCAATAAGGGTTTAGATCTACTTTAATGCCAATATAAGAAGTTTATTAGATAATTCAAACTTTTTGTCAAATTGTTTATATTATGGATAGCATGAGGAAAGGTAAGACCCTCTGTCAGGTCTTTATCGCTGTTGTATACATTAGGGCTGTTTTTTCCTTTTCCTTTGCACCCTGTCCTGGTGACACAAAGGCCCATGAGGTCAAAGGTCCTAACAATGTCTGTGTGCTCTCCTTATTCATATCCATTCCTCCTATCTGCTAATTGAACCTCTAGTAGACCTATAATTGTTGAAAAATGTGACACTGTTTTCAACTAGCTTTTCACAAACTGAGGAGGACAAAGAGTAGATTTTTTGCAGGGGAAAACCTCATTATATTTCTTTTTTTTAACGTGGCTCTTAGCTGCACACTTGCTACAAACTATTTTGACTCTGCTGCCCCCTTTCCAAAAATGGAGACTTGAAATCTATTCCGCTTTACAAACTCTGATACCTAAAGTAGCCTGAAAGTTTCTATAGTCCATAAGATTATAATGGAGAAGCGATGGCCTGGAACTATGAAGGTCTCCATGATTGAAACTGTTCTTTAGACTCAAGACTTTTTACCTTTGCTGAATTGATTGGATGTAAATATCTTGTTGTAAGTAAAATCGCCATAACTTCTGCCAATGATTGTAATAGGGAAAGGGATACTTTTATGAGGCACTATACTCTGTGTACAGTGAGTCCTCTACATGCAAATGTTCAAGTTACCAACTTTAAGAGATACAAGCATGCGTTTTATATGTCCAATAATGTAAGTTAGTTTACATGTCTGGCATACATTGTCATGTGTGTGTGCTTTTGTGTCCGGAAGCAAGTGTAAAAGCAGCAGTGATGTAGCGGGGCACCTAGGCTAACTTGTTGGACTTACAAACAAAATGGATGTTCTTGGAATGGAACCCGTTCGTAAGTAGGGGACTTACTGTATACTTTTTGTGTAGACAACTGAGTTATCTTTACACAGAACATGTGATGTGATAGCAAACTCTGTAGCTGAGACAGCAGTAACCAGAGCAAAAGTGTTTATTTTACCATGATGACCCACTCAGGAAAATGTCTGTCAGCAACAGATAACAGGAAATGAGCAAGTGTAAGAAGATTATGCTTGTGAAGTCTGGGCTATACCGGGCCTCCCCATTTCCCATATAAAGCCTGAAGCTGTCCTTTATTTTAGGGAACAGTGAGACATACAGGCAGGAATTATTCAGCCACCCACTCTTTACCCACTCTTTAAAGTGCTGCAAATAACTTTCTAAATTCTATTCCAGTGGAGAGAGACAGGTGGAGGAGGGAGGATGATAATGCTGGTGCTGATAAAGGGATGTGATAGCATTGAAGACAGACTTTCTAAACTACTGATCTGAATAGGTCATCCAGCAGTGTCTCTAAGCACCAAGAACCATTAGCTCATTATCTTGTTTATAAAGGAACCCTAAAGCAAACCTATTCCTAAAATCTAAAGTTTGACTGTCTACGATGAACTTATCAGTACAGTTGAATGTCACAAAGCATTCAAGGAAGCATTAGAAGCAGCAGAGCTCTTTGCACATTCTGAGGCATCCTTCATTCTACTAACCTCACAGAAGCCAATCAGGTCTCTGACTTTATCAGAGGCAAAGCCTGCCATGTCCTTCTGCCCACTTTCTGGTTACAGCTATCAACGAGCAAGATCTAGGAAAAGAAAAATCCACTCTGTGATAGCCTCTACCTTTATGTTGGCCACCTTGCAGCTCAGTTGAAGAATGGGTGACAAATTAGACCCGGGTAAATAAGCAGCTGTGGAACGACTACTGTAATTTCTACATCGTTCACAGCTGTCTCACACTGTTTGAAGGATATGGTTGTCTGAATCTAGGTCAGCTTTAAGGCTTCTCACACATAAATATCAAATGGTGAAGCCTCTTTGTGAAGGTCTTGCTGGCTTTGAAGATCAGTACTCCTAGATAGGGCAGGGCCACAAGTCAATGGAGCAACATGAGAAAGTACAGTGACATTGGTTTGATCAGTTACAAAGTATCAGACATAATGAGGCTAACATTGTACTCAAAGTAATTAAGGATTGCAAAGCCATACCGGATGTAGTGCTAGCCCAGTTTACAGACCTGTAAGGGCTCCAGGCTGTAGAAGGACTGTTGAACATTAGAGAACTACTTCCAAGACTGTTACAGAACTACTTCCAAGACTTATGCAAGCTTGTCCATATGTCCATTACATGCTGTGACATATTCTAAGGTGTAGAGAGAATGAGCAAGTACTTTGAGTCTCAGTGAGATGTATATGGCATTGCATTAGTCTCAGTCACTGTCAGGTAAACAAGCCAAACAGACTGAGGGAAAGTAGAAGGTAATATGGGAGAAAGAAAGTAAATATAGAGCCAAGAAAATGAGAGCAGGGGGAGCAAACATGAAGGGGAGGAGAAGTTGTTAACATCCCTATAGTGAAGTGTAGATTTGGGTGCAGGGGTTTCATATATTGTTGCATTTTTTGAGGGTGCCATGCATTCTAGCAGATAGGAGTTTCATGATTTGCACCACATTACCATAACTAAGGAGTACTAGCTTGGAGGGGGGAAGAAGATTGATTCCTTTTGAGCGCTATCAGCGGTGCCTGGGAGCCATGAATATTGGACACCATGTCTTTAACAATGGACCAAACAGTCTTTATACTGGGTCATGACCAGTATTTGTGGAATAGGGAGCCTATTGCTGATTGGTATCGGCAGAAGGAATCGGAGGTGGAAGGGTAAATTGCGTGGAGATGACCAAGGGTATAGTACTGAGCGCTATCAGCGGTGCCTGGGAGCCATGAATATTGGACACCATGACTTTAACAATGGACCAAAAGGTCTTTATACTGGGTCATGACCAGTATTTATGGAATAGGGAGCCTATTGCTGATTGGCATCGGCAGCAGGAATCGGAGGTTCAAGGGTAAATTGCATGGAGATGACCAAGGGTATAGTACCATGAAATATTTTAATATGTGTTTTCCTTGTATAGCATGCATTTGGAGAATTTACTCATAATGCTCTACATAGTTTACCAAGCAGTAATGAGAAGGTCCCAACCCAAGTAATTTTCCCACTTTTTCATGTATTGATGTTTGGGAAAGGGGCCACTTGTCAAAGTGATTAAAAGTTTGTAAATGTCAGATATAACCCCTCTCTGCAGAGTCCATATCTACATACAAAAATATGCGGGATGGCTAAAGGGTGTGAGCAAAGTTGTGTATTTGTAGGTATGATAACCCAAGGGGCAAAATTACATGCCCAGTCAGATTGAAGAGGCCTAAGCATATGCCAGAATGGCTGGCGTGTGTACGAGGACATGCAGATTTCTTTAAAGTCCTCTGTGCTGTTTACAGTTATCATCTCATCAGAGCATTAGGGGAAATTGATTCCTGTTGTATGCTCTGCAACAGGAAGTGAAGGAAATCTCCCCACTAGGACACAGTTAGTGTTGGCAAAATACAAATACCATTGCTTCACTGGATTAAAAACAACCCATACACAAATATGTTTGGAATGCCAAGGATGCTGGTACTTGACTAGAGATATCAAGCTCGGCAGCACTTAGACTTGTTTATGCATCAAGGCACTGCATTACCATCTTAGGCAATTGTCATTGTCTTCATTTTGTGGTCACTATCTTCAGAGGTGCCACACAGTTTTGCTATGCCTATTAGCCATACAAGCTCTTAGAATGCTGTCACAGCTACAGGGTTGCTGATGTATAGAATTATTACCTGAGAGTAGCATATACTAGAGAGGCTTGCCTTGTATCATCTTAATAGCTTCCAGCTTTGCTGTACTTTGGATTGCACTGTTTTCCGAATGCCATATTTTCTCTTTGCATGCCATGGTATAGTTTTTTGCCTTTTGCATGTCCAAGAAGTCATGTTTGCATTTTTGTCTACCTCTTGGCCTGGTGTCGGCAAGTGAACGTGATTGCCTTGCACTGATGTGTCTTGCTCTCTTTTGCCCTGGGTGATGTGGGCGCTGTCTTCCGATGCATGCTTTTTCTGAATACTTCTTTGCAAGTCCAGCAGTTTCCTGCGTACTGTAAATCGGTAAGACCCAAAATGTATAATGGTCTTCCCATAAGGTCATAAAATGGTTTGTAATTACACTTCTATGAATATGTATTCTATTGTATACTTGTGTTATGTTCTCTAGTTTCCTAACACCTAGGAAGTAGGCATTCTTAAAATACATGGACACACTGCAGTTAGCTAAAATCAAAGTCATAAAAAGGAAGTTTTAGTAAAACATGTTTTTTAACCTATGTGGAAGACATCCATCTCCTTTTCATAGGTTGGTTCTTAACTTTAAACTCCAGTTTTATTAAAAAGCATATTCATTATATTAGCTACACATAGCACTTTTATTAAATGTTAGTTTTAAAAAAAATCACCTTTTTATTTTATTATACCTTTATTTTCAAAAACTTACAAAAAAAGTAAATATACATTTTGTGCAACCATGAAGACTATGTGCAACCATGAAACCAGATTCTTTCCCTTATTACAACACTGATACTGATCATGTGAGCATGCAGATTCTATCACTTAGCACTCACTCTTCACACACTTTGAAAATTAATGTTCAAATATTTAGGGCAAAGTGACAATTTCTTTTGACAACCCAAACCCACTGATAATTATTCACTTCGCTCCTCTACCAAAGCATTTGCCCCCATCCTAAATGTAGTCCCTAACTAAGTCCAATGTTGGTCTGTGTTGGAGCTTGACAAGGTGAATGCCTTCCTCCCCTCTCCTTGAATGGCGATGCTCAGACCTGACGATTGGTCTGAGCACTGCATCCTGGCAGGTCAGATGCCCAATCATACCCATGTGCTCCCATATCTACTGAGCCAGGTATTTCCGAGGACAAACAGAGTAGTAGCAGAGTGCAGGATCGTAAGCCCTAGTGGGGGGGGGAGGGGGGGGGTAATCCATCCAGAGAACCTGCCACTTTGCCCATTCAGGGCAAAGTGACAGGTCCTCTGTATACTGACTTATCAATGTTGACTCTCTGAACAGATTTACTAAAAGAGAAGAAAAACTGAAAGAGATTGTGATGAAACTCATGACAACCTGCTACAAAATTACAAAATGCTTATGTTCCTGCCACACACAAAAAAACATACTAAACAAGCATAAATTCTGGCACTTTACAAATGTGTGTGTGTGTATATATATACAGTTGGGCAAACTGTACCTTCTTCTTTAAGAGGCTCCTCTGTCCTGCACTCATTACCTATAAGCTTTCAGGACTAAAGACCCTCCAATAGCAAAACCTAAAGTGTTGATGGGTTATGATAATGAACATTCACCAGCCATATAGGTTATAATAAGGATTATAAATGCCAATGCACTAAAAATGCATGTCCTCTTTGAAGCTCACATTCATTTTTGTTTTAAAGTGACACTAAACTCAGGAGTTAAATCTTAAAAATGCATTCAAGTATCTTGACTATTAACAAAAACTCTATCACTCGGCTGTAGATCCTTAAATCATCTCTGAATTGGTGCTGACACTGTCCTTCCTTCTGGAGGGTGGCTACTTTTCTTCCCCATGGTCCCTGTGTGTGTTGCAAAGTAGTCACTGCTCCCAGCTCACTTGTAGCTGTGGCTTTGAGATTGTAGTATCAAGATTGTAGTCCATTATGGGAACAGGCTTGGAGCAGTGGCTACTTTACAACACGCACAGGGACCATGGGGAACAAAAGTAGCCCCTCCAGAAGGAAGGACAGTGTCAGCACCAATTCAGAGATGATTTGAGGATCTACATCCGAGTGATACACAAATAAGATACATTGCTGTTAATAGGGTATTGAATGCATTTTTAAGATTTAACTCCTGAGTTTAGTGTCACTTTAAATCAGCTTCATACTTTCCAGGCACATCAAAACAAATGGTGCGCAAAGTCTTACAGTTTATTTCCTTTAGGAAACAGCCAGAGCTTAAGTACAAGGCCTGTCCCCTGCCAACATCACAGAAAAAGACCCTTGCTCTCTGTGTGGAAGCGGTGGTTTCTGTGCAGAGGCCCAACATGCTCCATGCTGAGCCAGAGCTCTCCAAACAGCAGGGAACATGTGCTTTGCTGTTTGCAGAGCTATACATTTAACTGGCAGTGTTGGAATTCCGTGGAGAGGCCACTTTTTCCACACAAAAGAGCAATGGACCTTCTCTACAGCATGCTGGCAGGGAACAGGCTTTTCTAAGGTTGTGACTGTTTTCTAATGGAAACAACCTGTAAGACTTCACACACCTTTTGTTTTGATGCACCTGGATTATATTTAGCAGGTTCAATTGTGCGTTAATACATTTTAAAATACTAAGTTACCAAGTTATTTCTTAACTATATTACAAGTTAATATACATGCTTAAAAATAAAGGATAAGGAAACATAGAAGAACAATTACAGAGTTGTAGGTGCTCATAGAAAAAGATTTTTATGAGAGCCCTTGATTGAAAGTTTAAACCCTCCCTATATAAAACAGATTTGCTGTTCATGGCGACATGAAGGACTGTGAGATTAATACCCCTTGTAAACACACACAGGTTTTGGTTGCAATTTACTATGTAATGTATACAGAAGCACAGTATCAATTCTGCTCTGAGCACCAGCCAAAGCATGGTAAGCTTATAGCAAACAATTTCTATTTGTAGGATCTTCCTACTATTACTAACTAAATCACATCTCTATTTCCCTAGTAAGTGAATTATCCTTGTTAGCTGAGTGGCTGTGTTATCTCATAACTCGAGAACTGGTATTACCTTGTGCAGGGGTTGAAGCAGCACATTGTGAATTATATGAGATCCCCTAAAAACATCAAATTGGACTAATGTGCTATGGGGCCTCCATCCTCAAGTCTGTGTTACAGGCAGGAGGCCACCAAGGCTGCTTACTAATACAGTGTCTTTTGACAGTAATGAGGCAAAGCAGGAGATTGTGCCCGATGTGGATGTTTGGGAGATCCTTCGTAAAGCCCCACCATCTGAATATGAGAAGATTGCCTTCCAGTACGGTATCACTGATCTGCGTGGCCTGCTGAAACGTCTGAAGAAGATGAAGAAGGAGGAAAAGAAGAGCGAGGGTGAGGTGGCAATGAAAGATCTCAACCAAAGCTATGTTTGTTTTTAGAGGCAGAGGAGTACTGGGCTGGTACTCCTCCAGGCCAGTTCAAATAATATATGTTTGGCAGATGGCCCTAAGTGAAAATACTATCCCATTCAGACCTCAGGTTGGAGTAAGACATGCAGTTAGTGACAGCTGCTGGACATTATAAAGCTGTTTAGGCCTGAAATCTTCCAGTGTTGACTTCTTCTGCCGTTCTAAAATGTAATGTGACTGAACACAAAAAGCTTCAAAGGAAGTCAATGTTAGAAAAATGCAAAATTGTAAAATGTGTTGTGCCCATTTGTTAAAGGAAGCTAAGAGATAATGATAATGTGTAATGGTGGCATGTTATTTTATTTAGGTAAATTCATGTTATTTTCAAAGAACAGCAGTCATCTGGTTCAGCTCATAATGTACTTCACTGGTTGCAGTTCATGTAAAATGGCATGTTAGAGTAAACCATGTTCTCTGAGACAACACTACCATTGCCATCAGTCACTGGACACTGCGGCACACTTTGTGTGATGCACTTTCTTTAGCCCCCAGGAACCTGTCCCCTCCATGAAGGACCAGCAGAACTTCCCACAAGGCCAACCAAGCAGAGCTAAATGTACAGCGGGGAAGCCGGAACATGTTTTGTACAAGTGATCTTGAAGATTTTGTCGAGATCACTTGTATGCAGCCTGCAGGTCTTCCATTCTCCATGGAAGCCCTGAGGACCAGTTAATTGAGTTTGCCTCCCAGGTCAAAAAGCTCCCATTCCCCCCTCTTTTGAGGCCTTTGTGTGTCAAATGATACACAACTGTGCAGCCATGCTCATATGCAGCATGGTCCTCCATCAATCATCAATCCCTGTTGGGATTTCCTATTGACATCAGAGCAGCCAACATATTATCCGGGCTGCAGCAAGATATGCAATGATAGGAAGAGCTAGCCAGATAGACTTAACAAGTCTGGATTTATACCCTAGAGCAGCCAAGTAAAGTATATTTTACAAGTAACCAGATATCATCAACAACTTTCATCAAAAGTATCTAGTAGATGTTGAAACAATCCTTGAAATTCATGCATGTTACCAATTACTGCATACAAAATAGGTGAATGTTTTGGAGGACTTATTGCAACTTCTAAGCCTGGAAAGCTAAAGTCAGTTTCTGGTTTATATATATATATATATATCATAGTAATGTTAGAACAATGCACATCTTGAGAACCTACAAATACAATGTCCATTAGCTGTACCATGGCTGGGGTTGTGTAAGGAGACTTGGCACATTACTTTTTGTTGTCTGACTAAAGCCGTCTCATTGATCCACTAGCTTTCCTGAAGAAACTGGATTCAGCCTACCAAGTTGATAAGGGTTCAAAGATGAAGCTGGTTGTGGAAGTGGCCAATCCTGATGCAGAGGTAAAATGGCTGAAAAATGGCCAGGAGATTCGTGTCAGTGGAAGGTGAGTAAAAATTGCCAGAAGCTAAAGGTGTTCAGCAAATGTAGCAGTAAAAGGATTTGTGCTATTCCTGTGAATGGTGTGGAGGGCAGTTGAATGACATCTGGATTTAGCACTGTACATTAAACCATGAGCAGATAATGCCGGATTCCCTGGATATAAAAAACAAAATGAAGATAGAGATTATTTATTTTCCCAAAAAACTGGTAAAAATCTGGAGATATCATCAGATTTCACTATTTTGATTAAATGCATTGGAGTCAATAAGAAAACTTGAGGGCAGGGGTTTGGTGGTTTTTAAGGATCTAATTGGCTTTAAATGACTCCCAAGGTTTACAGAAGCTAATTTCAATTATCATGGACCTGTTCTTATACCAAAAAACATCCCTCAATTAACTACATATACAATTAAAGTGACACTATACTTAGAAGTTGAATCTTAAAAATGCATTCAAGTACCTTTAGAATTAACAATACTGTATCTTATGTGTGTATCACTCGATTGTAGATCCTCAAATCATCTCTGAATTGGTGCTGACACTTCTTTCCTTCCCGAGGGTGGCTACTTTTCTTCCCCATGGTCCCTGTGTGTGTTGTAAAGTAGTCACCACTCCAAGCTCACTCCCAGGATGGACTACAATCTCATGTTTAGTTTACTAATTTGTATTGAGATTGTAGTCCATCACAGGAGTGAGCTTGGAGTGGCGGCTACTTTACAACACACACAGGGTCCATGGGGAACAAAAGTAGCCACCCTCCAGAAGGAAGGACAGTGTCGGCACCAATTCAGAGATGATTTGAGGATCTACAGCCGAGTGATCCACAAATAAGATCCGGTATTGTTATTGGTTAAGGTACTTGATTCCTTTTTGAAGATTTACCTCTTAAGTTTAGTGTCACTTTAAATAAGCTAAACTACCAAACATATACCCTCCCAAAAATGACCCCCTCTAAATAAATTTAAAAAGGAGATTTTGTAAGCAAATTCTACTTATGTAGCTCAATAAACAGAATTAAAAGTTTCCTCTTTGGAAACATTTTACCGGCAACATTTTGCACCAAAATGTATTCATTCTGTTCAACCCTACATATCACATGTATATAACATAACAGAGTAGAACACATTAGAACATTACACTAAATATTTGTGATGACATGACTCTGTATCACACCTACCAAAAGTCAATTCCCAGATAAGTCACAATCAGTTCCTGTTTTTGTTCAACCCCCAGTTGTCAGGATTACAATTTGTCATTATTCAGTTACACCAGAAAAAATTCCATTCATGTTAGAATCGTAAACAATGAGAGTCTTGCAGCAGGAATGAGCTGACGACTCAATAAATGATTTTGGCATTTGGTTTCGATACCCTATGGGCCATGGCATATGGGTGACCTTGGCGTGGGGGACAACTCGTCATTGTCAGGACCGCTAAGGGAGCCTTTACCAGTCTCTGTGGAAACACTCCCTCGCTAGGTGGATCTGCAAGATGTTGCTCCCTCAACGCTCCCTCACTAGGCAAGGGAGATCCAGCAGCATTCAAGGCCAGTGAGGGAACAATTCCACAGAGGCAAGTGGAAGGTTCTCCCACGTGACTTTGCCGCCATGTCACTAGTGGCAGAGTCACCTGTGTGACATCAGCCTAAGGCTGAACCCCTCTGGTCTTCTGTCCTGACCACTCATTCTTGTATAAAGACCCACCTCTTAACATTTATACCTAAAACATAATCTTCTGGTAGATATAGTGATAAAGTATGTGGTCAAGAAGGGAACTTGTGTTCCTGTGTAGATACGTTCATGTTTTTGCATCATTTTGTACAAAATATAATTTAGTACAAATATTACTATTATTTTATATATCATGTTGTATATTTGTTCTGCATTTTGTCTTTTTTATATCAAGCATTCACTCACATTTTCTTCTTTCCATTTCATTTTCTTCCCCACTATACCAAATCGGAAATGCGAACATGGATTCTTCAGCAAGTAAGTGTTCATATATTTTATTTAATTTTGCATAAAATGTGTACAAATTTGTTTTTAAAGCTGAACGCAGAGAGTCATAAATAGGAATAAAACCATTTAGCCCAGTTATGCAATCGTTAAAAATAAATAACTGAGGGCTTGTTTATATTATAACATGATATCTAATGCCAACGCTTTTCTAGGGGAGGGAGAAGACCTAGCTATATTCCTTAACAGCATAGAGAAAAGCAGACAGGGCTGTGCTGTGTTGTATATACATGGTCGTCCCTATGGTATTTGCCTCCTGGGGCGATTTTGTTCCCGGGGGGGGGGGGGTTGTGGGGGATCACACTTTT